GGGACACCATAGTCAGTGCTGTACATTTGTAGTTATCAATTTTTTAACAGGGTGTACGCTTTACTATGGGCATTCTTGTATGAGAGGGTCAAACAATATTTGTGACTCTGAGTTATGGGAGGGAACTTCAAAAGCTGCTGAGGGGCACTTGGCAGAGGTTTGTTTCAACAAAGCTAAAGAGGAGGAAATGGTTATTGCAGTTAATTGGCAAGATGCTGACTCCTCATCAGCAAAATCATTTCGGTAAGTGTTCCCTGATGGGTCCCTTAGCCGTGTTATGCTATGTGGGATGTTCACATGCCAACAATCTCAAAGAATATAAATCCAAGAAATCAGTGGATCAATCATTTATTTTGACACATAAAGAGAATTTTCCTCAGGTAGCTTCAGCTAAGTGTGAGTGTGCTAGTAAAAGGGAACATTGCAAGAAATGCAGTTGTATGTCAGACAAGTTTCTAGCACGGGCACAGAGCAACCAAAGCAAAGCGGGAACGATCCAATGGAATATGCTTCCCGTAGCGAACAACAAGCCATCATATTTTAGGATTGTAATTATATATGTAAGAGTTTTCATGTAGCGGAAAATGAAGGTCATTTTACTTTTTACATTTTAGCCGTACGTAGTACCTTAAGGAAAAGTAATACAAAATATAACTGGCCCTATTTAGTTTCATTTTGCGACCGGAAATATTGCGTGACAGCAAGCAGGAGCTACTGGAACATCAATGTACCTAAGTCACGTTTGTCATATTCAGATCCTATGAAACATAGGAAAAAACCCTTTTCTTGCTTCGTCTTAAATCCTTGTTATATCACTCCATGTTTTATTAATCAATGTTTTATCACTCCATGTTTTATTAATCAATTTTTTATCACTCCATGTTTTATTAATCAATTTTTTATCACGCCGTGTTTTATTAATTCATGTTTTGTCACTCCATGTTTTATTAATCCATGTTTTGTTAATCCAGTCCAGTCCATATTTTATGACATGCCAATAAATACGAGGTGTCCTTGAGAGACTCACGTCACTTGGTTGTTACAAACTGGTTGCAGCTGTCTATGTGGGTTAATGTGCTTGCCTTCTGTGGCAAGTGATTCCTCCTGAGTGCAACTGCTACATCAGACTGAGATTCAGCATCAGTTCTCAGCTTCTTCTACTGCCACATCAAGGAACATCCGACAGAGGTCTAGCTTGAGCTGGCACTGTAGTCTTAAGCACTGACACTGGTTGAGGGTGCGGCCATGTAACTACCGATCTCCTGTGAGTAAAAAACATTAGGAACTCACTATCTATGTGATACGCATTTTCAAGCCATTTGATAAGTTTTTTTGACTATTAATTACCTTGGTAAACACATCTCGGCTTTGCGCGTTGTTATAAATAGGTCAGGTGACTGGTTATTTAAAAACAATATATTCATTATGCAACTTACATTTTCAAAGTATTACCGATGTTGCATTAAAAATACAACACTTACTAGCTATAGCCTCATATGGAACAAAAAAATTATAAGTTAATATTTGCCTTTATTTGGCAAAGCCAGTCTTAGGCAAATCCATGGGCTCTGATTAGTTGTTTCTCAGTCAGGATTTTGTAGTACTGACCGTATCCTTGGAAACAGAAGGAAACGGTCCAAGCAGTGTATTACTTGTTTTGGAGCAAAGCCAGCAAATTTAACATCTCCAACCAAAACAGCAAAAAAATTCGGTTTATTGTCATTCTTCACAGCGAAACTGTGAGAATTCAAAGATGGATGAAGAAGACGAACATTCTTTGAGTGAGGTTTATTATCCTGAGGAACTGGAAACGTTTGAGCTTTATTTATTTATTATTACATAATTGGGATATGATTAAAAATCATTGCACTTGAAGTGGCTCTTGCTTCTTACCAGAGATCACTGCCACAGCCAGCTTTAAATTCTTCACAGTTGCATCTTGACTATATTCCTCCTTTGCTGTTTTCAGGTCAATATCTGTACACCAGGAGCGCTTTCCATTTAGCCAAAATTTCCGGTTTGTCATTCCGGAAAATTTCCAGTTCAAATGGAAAGGCCTTTTCCCTCCCAGGAATAGAGCCTCGTTTTGAGTCCTACACTTGACATTTCATTGGTTAATCGCTGACGAGGCGCAACAAAACAAAATGGACGACAATGTTGCAGTTCCTCTGATTTGCGACTTTCTCGTCAGTTGTGACGAGGAAATTGAAAGGTTTCTAAGGAATGAAAATGATTTTGACTTTGTGGCGATAGCGGGGGTGTCCTGCTGCTTCGTTCGTAGAAACTTAACGCGAATTCAGAATTATTTTGAGTCTACAGTAAGTAATTATTTCGGGGATGAGTTCGCGGCGCATTTTAGGATGACTCGGACCACCGCAGAGTTATTGACAAGGGAAGTGATAAACACTGGCAGAATACCCTTAGGAAATCCTTTTGGAAGGACATAAATCCCACCAGAGAAACAAGTATTGGTCTTCCTATGGGCACTGGCGACCCAAGAGAGCACGCGAGAAATCGCCGACTGATTTGACATCATGTACAGCAGTGTTTCTCGGACTTTTGTTCGAGTTACTGAAGCCGTTTGTGGCCTTAAGAACCAGTATATAAGATGGCCAAATGGTGAGTAAAGTATACAACCTTTTACCATGGTATACCCGAACGAAACTTTCGTTGCAAAGGAAAGACTTTCGATAGGTCAATACATTTATGTTAGTCTCGATTAGAGAGTGCTACAATAACTTGCTAACATGAGTGTTATGAAATTTTGCACATACATATATATGTATATAAATAGACAACCTTGTGAATATTGGAATTGGCTATATTTATATAGAATTAATATAAGGACATACCGTCAATTCGGTATGTTTTTTACTCTAGTAAAAATTAAAAATGTTTATTTCAAGTGTATTTTTTACATCATGCTAGGGCATGAGATCAATGAGGTCAGGGCAGATTTTGGTGACACATTTCCAGGAGTCAATGGTGCCATTGATGGAACCCTAATTCATATACGATGTCCATCAGAAAACAAAGAAGCATATAACTGCAGAAAAAGATTTTATGCTTTGAACGTTCAGGTACAAGTATTTGCTTGTTATTCTAGGAGTAAATGCCATTGTTTTACCTTAACTGTGCCTGCAACAGTTTACTGTATACTGTAAACTTATGTCCGGTTCACTTATAATAGTTTGAATACCTTGTCATCAGTAGATAATTTAAGTCTAAGTTTTAAGTTTTTAAAATACAGCAAAAACGTGACATTATTGTTTCCCAAATGTTTTAGAATGTCCATGTTCATTGATTTAAACTTCACCCTATATTTTCTCAAAAATGCTCTCATATAAACTCTTAAAATTATGCAGACTTAAAGACAAGTATATCTGACAGGTTAAAGATCCAAGCATTCTAAATTTATCTCTTGATGACCAGTTATTTGATCTTATATAAAATGTGGGATGTGATATAACAATGCTATAGTTATTTATGATTTTGATTAAACATACCTTATCTGAAATGTTCATGGTCTAGTGCAGCCATTGATAATAATAGACTTTCTGCTGAATTGTTTATGGTGGTACACTATACTTGCCCCGATAATTATTATTATTATACATCAGACTCGCTATGAAAAATCTGATTGGTCAAGAGCATTCAATCAATTCAAAATAGCTTGTGAACTTG